CTGACCTTGGACATTATAGTAAGAACTGTTTTGTGGAGTGGTCTGTTCTAAGTACATAAGCCTGGGACACATATTGTCATGCACATGAGGAAGTTCTGCGCCTCCCAGGGTTAGCACTCAAATCTTGAAGGCATGGAAGTCTTTCAGGCAGCCTTTCTCCTCTCCTCTGTTACCCCTCTGTGCTAAATTAGAGCTGCTGGAATCAGCGCTGCAGAAAAGCAATTTAGTGTGACAGTGGTCATGTGGGTTGGCTCTTACTTAGACTCCCAGGACATTAAAGTCAAATAAGTGTTTGCTGTTGGTTAACAAATTGTTAGATTTGTCTGCCTATTATATTCTATTTTTTTTTAATCTTGCCTATTTGTTTTAAAATAACAAAACCATGGAAGAAGAAACATCGCTCAAAACCAGATTTGATGCTAAGACTAACTCCAGTCTAAACCATGAAAAGTGATCATTAGAACATGGTCAGTTTTTCCTTATGGAAAAGCAGCTATTTTCTAAATGTATACTGAAATGTAATTTGCTCTTTCACTGACTACCTCATGAAGATCACATCCTGTTTTAAATAATTTTGAAGTGTACAGCACAGATTTTACTGTCTGCTAAGACCGGCTCTGAGTCCTGTGTCTCCTTTTGAGTGTCACAAGATAGATTTTTGTGTGGTTTAGCTAAAGGATAGATCTATACAGATTATGAACTTGGTCACGGCTGAGTTCCTGAGCATAATTGCTCATATCTTTCTCCCACTCTTTGCCACACAAAGCAGATATTTCCATGGTGCCTTTCTCAAATGGTAAGAGCACTCTAGCCTTTTCCATTGAGGCAGGCAGTTTCTTGGGGCTTTATTAGCTCCTATTGTGTTATTAGTTTCAGGAACAAAAGAGGATTTGTTTAGAGATATGTGGTGAAGCTGGTCTGAAAAACTTGTGTTCCTGTTTCAGAGTTAAGAAGGCTATCATTTTTCTAGGTGCAACACAGAGAGTGACTGGTATCAGATCCATGAAAATATCATTAAAAAGCTGAATGCACGTTACAACTTGACAGGCTCTAATGCAGGTGAGTAAGTTGCCACATTTCTGTTTGCATTCTTAGGGTTTTCTTAGTTTGCAAATGAAGTGGCTTTATTTTAGAAGGACTAATGTCTATGAAAGAAATATCTTTTCACACAGAGAAAAATACTTGTATTAGGTGAAAATGTATGATATTGCCATTCATGTGCACATTTAGAAAAAAAAAGTCACTGAATTTTCTTCAAGGAGATACGTAATTTTATTCTGTGCTGAGGAGCTACAGTTTGCTGTGGAGTTCTGTTCACATGTGGGGCTGATCAAATTATTGATCCGTGTTGCTTGACATTTCTGCTTCACATTTTCATCAGGAATACAAAATTTGCCATTGACATTGTATATTAATTAAACTTCAGAAAAAAATGTGAGTTACCAGTGTGCTCTGCATTCCTACTGGCCAGCTGAGCAAGATGCAGAGTTGATATTTAAGAACTTACCAATAATCCTCCATAGTCAGCTATACGTCACTGTAACTGTCATCAAAATAAATTCGAGTGTGAGACTTAAGAAATGGGTGACAACTGACCTTTGTTATTGTGAGATGGTGGTTTGATCCATAGGAGATGTTGGATTTGCATTTTTTTAGGTTTTGGTTTTTTTTTTTAATACCAACTTGTTAACTTTTTCTGAATGCTGTCATCCAGGGATGCAGTCAAACTTGAAATCAAACCTGAAATGGAAGCTTATGAGTCTATTGTCCTTGTATTCAGATATTGTTTTTTCCCTATGAAACATTAATTAGTTAAAATATAATTATAGAAAAATCTCATATGAACCCATTTTCCAGGTGGTACTGTAATTGTAATCCCGTTCGTGTAGTAGTAGACTTCATGCTCCTTTAACTTGATTTCAAGCATAATGATTATCTTGAAAATGTCCGTTCAACAATCTTTAGTGCATAACCAAGAAGTGCATAAAAGCTTATGTTACTCATCAAGACTGAAGTTATATATTTAACCATTTCTAATACTATTATTTTCTTGTATAGAGTCTAGCCACATATATACATATATTCAAGGTTTAGAATATCATGCATCTTATTGGACAATAAATATAAAAATCATGTAGTGAAAATACAAGAGCACGTTACTGAGTCAGTATAATGTTGGTCGTCTTAAATATGTTAACCATATTCACAAAGAACAACCTACTCTTGGTCATTCTGACTGTCCATGCAATACCTGTTTACTCTGTGATACATCACTTATTCTATTCCATTCTCATGAAATAAGAGTTCACAGCTAAATACCCAGTTGTCCTAGGAGACATTGGATAACTTTGGATACTCTTAATTATGTGAGTATTCAACATGAAAGACATATGGGACATGATTTTTTTTCCAGGTTACAGGGGGCTGGAAACTAAAGCTAGCAAATTGAAGATCAGTTACATTTTGAAAAGTGTTGTCGGGGGGGGGAGGCAGAGAGAAAAGCAGCACAGAATTCCAGTAGTGCAT